TACTTACTGATGGAATTACCATGTCGCACAAGAACCGTCTTGATGGCGCCGCGGTAACATTCGTCTTGATTGACCATGTCTTGGTCCAGTCGGATGGACGTTGCGGTCTCTTAGCCGGATGGGCTTCGCGACGTGACGTCGGATAGGCTTTATCGATGCCGGCCCAACTAAGTGATCCTCCTGATGAAGACTCAGCACATCCTTTTCATGGGCCTACCCTGAAAGGATCCCGCGGTCAACCAAAATCATATATCACGTGGTCTGTAGCTAACTAGGATGCCTTCCTTAAATTTTGGGCCTTGTTCAAGAAATTTGGGGGAAGCCACTAGGCCGTCGATGAAAGTTGTCTTTCCTTTGATGCAGCTCACAACATGGTGAATATGGAAGAAGGCACCCAGCTGGCAAGTCCCGTGCCTATTGGTCTAGTGGGGGGCGAAGGTCTCAATTTTGTTTTGCCGACTTAATTTCGTATTCTTTTCCTATCCTTAAGGGGTTGTTAGCCTTCTTCTAGGCTCGTAGCTATTACTCCTTTATGTCAATTGTTAGAATTGTGTCGAATATTTTGTACAGGGTAGGTTACAGTTGGACTCTTAAGTCATACGGTGTGTTGATAGGATCACGGAGTCGTGTCCTAGTAGGACACTTGTATCCTAGGCCTCTTATATAATGGGGGGTAGACACACGATGTAACCTATGTGAACATAATAGCATACCACACGGGGAACCAGCAGCGTGTGTCGGCCCGGGCGGCCAGGGTGCAATATTGTAGCGGTGTCATGGGGAGGAGCGCCCGTAGTCATTGCCCCGGGGAGTAGGCGAGTTCGCCGAACCTCGTTAACAAATCTTGGTGTCGTCATCCTGTCTCGTGGGATTGCTTGGTCCTCGGATGATCAATGGTGGCCTTGGATTTATTCTAACAAGTGGTATCAGAGCAAGGTTGCAAGGTCTGGAGGTTGCTGATCATCGATCTGGAGGAGGTCATGGTTGTGGAGAAGATCAACGACAGCAGCGTGATTAGGCGGCGGTGGAGGTTGCTGGCAGTTCGATGTCGCGGATGGATCGGACTGGATATCTGTTGGGCTCGATCGAAAAGTCTCGGCCAGTATAGCAACGATGGCGAGAACCAAAAGCAATGTGGAGCATCGGGTGTTGTTCGTGGGAGATCTTCGTGTTGGCGGGTCAAATCGGTACCAGATCAATCCGTCGTTTCGGCGAGTACGAAAGCGTGTGCAGCAAAAGGCGTCGGCGGCAGAGATCGATCCAGTCGATCGGGCAGTGCTGGAGTGCTAGGTCAGGCGCTGCAGTTGCGCGGACGCGCGTGTGACTCGAGCAACGGCCAGTCCAAGTGGTTGAGGTGAGGCCCTGTGGGCTGCTTGCCTCGATTGACGAGGCCCGCTGGTGGACACGGGCCTGGTGCATCACTTCGTCCAGGCAAAGCAGGAGCAGGTTGCCGCATGCGATCGGAGGCTGAGACACGAGACCAGGACGCGTGTGTACGAGATTCGTTTGAGAAAAAAAGTTATACAAAAGACTAGTGCTATCCATCGGGAGCCAAAGATAAGGAAAGCTAATTGACCTAAACCTACAGGAGCACGTGGTGGAGTTCTGGATATTTTTCATTGGTCTTCACACTGAAGTGCACACGGGAAGGCTGTGGTGGAATTTGGCTTTTATTTCATTTGTACATTATATACACTCTTATAAAAATGGCAGTTGGTGATGATGGTGTGCCTGCCTCCGTGCCATCTGAACCGTTCAATCTAGAACGAAAGGCTGATACAGGTTGTCCCCGATCTACTTGCAACTCTGCAAAAACACCCCACGCATCAGACAAAATTTTGAGGTAGACATACGAACACACCACCCCACACGAGGTTCTTGTTTCCCGTTCTCTCACGAAAGAGATCGAGTCTTCGAGAATCCCTCCCATCGCTGACGGCACCTCTCTTCTCTTCCACGGCGACCCCGTAGTTAAGTTGGGCAAGGGTGCCCCCTATAGATGTAGTGTAGTAAGGGTCCTAATCAATCAGATTTGCCTTCGAGATTTTGCCGGTATCTCTCCTTTTAGATCTGGCTGTGCGGGCCATCGGAGATGGAGATGATAGCAGCGGTTGCTACATGTCCAAGTTCGTTCTAAGTTACTTCTTCTTCCCTTCGTTGTTGAGGTTGATACAGTTTTGCGCTGGCTCTGGTTCTCAACCTCCACATGCTGCCCTTTCTTCCGTGCTACCCAAGGAGGCTACCAGCGGCAGGATCGCCGTGAGTTAGGCCCGGCGTTTCAAGATCGGAAGTTTTCTGCCGGTGGCTAGCTACTCGTTCACGACAACACCGATGCCAAACTGCCAATAGAAGACGAGCAGTATATGTGTGCTGGATCTTTCCAAGCTTACTTCATGTTCAATTAGGTCCATATTTTGCCAGATAATCCCGTCCTTATCTCTGATTTTGATTTTGATATTTCTTGAAGATTTCAGGATAGATGGGGGTCCCGACGAGCTAGGTGGCTATAGTTTGTTTTAGGGAAGTCACACTGATTTCTCTCTGTCTATTTGTAGAGAAATTAGTCATGGAGCAATCTTAAGTGAAGACTGATCTAGAACTAGCAGAACGTTTATGAGCATTGTGCAATTTTTTCGGTGATCTGACTGAACGTATCGTCTCTGAAATATATCCAAAAATCATATCACTGTTCCACTACTTAGGTTTTTACAGATAATTCTTATATGTTTGGGTGGTGCCAAACTGTCTTCTTGTATAACAATGCCAAAATTGCATAGTTGTATGTTATTTAGGGTTGTCTCTATTGCATATGACATGGAGTTGTCTTGAATATGTTGACATCACGTGGTAGTGAATTTTACAGCATTATCCTGGTGTATTCAGCTTAATCAAGCAATATGCCATTCGATTCCCTACTCGTGAAGTGGAATATTAAATAATGAAACCAAGGTTCAAGTCATCAGTTCCTATTATGTTTTCTTTTTCTGACTATGAGGTAGTATGTAGTACTGTAGTAGCATAGCAGTACTAGAATCAGGCTATATTGCTGCACGGTATTTTGAATAACATGTAATATTTCTACTTCCTACACAAGTGACAATAAAGATTCTCTTGAAAAGCTAGCACATAAGACAATCGAATATTGGGTTTCACACTTATGTTGGGAATAACAAGGTAGAATTGATTGGACGCTGTTTCTTTAGCTGGCGTAGGAAGTAGGAAGCATGCGGCTTTGGCCAGAGCAGAGAAACTTACTGAAATTTTGTTGCATCAATCATAGTATTACAATGTCTAGGGTTGCCCAGCTTGGATACCTGATTTAGCATTCATGATATTTTTTACGAAGAACGATCAGGGTGTGCACCCCACAACGCTCAGGGAGGTCTTGCTGCTGTGTGTGGTGTCATAGGGCCCACATGTCATGTGCCTCCTCGGTCTCATGACTCATGTGGCGGAAATTCTTAATGTCAAAAGCTGAGAGAGCACATGGCCGTATATTTTGTGGTGTTCAATGCACATGGCAAAGTGCGGATAACAAGTACAAAAGGAGGCGGAGTGCTATAGCTATGGGACATGTCAGAGACTATCCGGAGAAAGAGTGAGACAACTGTGAATTTGACTCAGGGTGACACAGGGCGACGGGGAAATTCCTTCAAGTTTCAAAGAGACGGTCAAGAAAGAGCGGTGATGTTGAGTTCAGGTAACTCTTATATGCGGCGTCCAATATGTGAGTTGTTCACTTTCATGCAAATCAGTTATCAGTGTGTGATGACGTTGAATGGTACTCCGGAAGTTGGGAGCACAAAGTAGAGTGATAAGGAAGTTAATTTTGCTCGAGTGTTGAGTTTGAAGAAGACGAGAAGGGACTACAGTTGCAGGTGGAGCCACATGGAGTCTGGGAGTAGCAGCGGTGCTCATGGTGTATCTCAAGTCCAATGTACATGGAGTTTCGACGCATGGAGAATCCAAGGTGGTGAGGAATATTCACCAAGGTGGAGTTTGTTAGAATTGTGTCGAATATTTTGTTTTAGGTAGGTTACAGTTGGACTCTGAGTCATATGGTGTGTTGATAGGATCACCAAGTCGTGTCCTAGTAGGACACTTGTATCCTAGGCCTCTTATATGATGAGGGGGTAGACACACGATGTAACCTATGCCAACATAATAGCACAGGCACGCGGGGAACCGGCGGCGTGTGCCGGCGCCCGAGCGGCCAAGGTGCGGAATTGTAGCGGTGTCATGGGGAGGAGCACCCATAGTCAGGCCCCGGGGATGTAGCCATATCGGTGAACCTCGTCAACAAATCTCGGTGGCATGCTTGTGTGATTGAGTGGTCCTCGATAGATCAACTGTGCGCCTCAGATTTATTCTAACATCAATGCATCGAGACGCAATGCTTTTATGTGGTTTTTTGGAGGAAAAAATATCAAGGAAGCAAATCTATAGGGTATTTAGGGTGGAATTAAGCCAGTAGTCCAACATACTGTGAAAATGAATTTCCCCTTGAGTTTTTCAAACTCTTATTTCCTAATTTATTCAAAAAGAAGTCCTTAAATTTGTTTACATTGAATCACTGAAACTGCCAAATAATATTCTCCTTTTAAGAAAATAGGAACAAACAGATGTTCAGTTCTTCCACATATTGCTGGACACAGAATATTCTGAGATTATTGGTACTCCAGAAAACTAAAGACACAAGATCAGTTACAAAGATGAACATGTACACATTTTTTTATGGGAATGAACATGTACACATCAACACTACTTATACCGTGGTGTGATGTTTGTGTGACACGAAGGTAAAGCTAAAGTCACACTTCACACCGATGAGAAACTAAAGAAGCCGGTTGTTCCTCTACAGAATCAACCAATTCCAGCACCACTTAATCCAGAAAAATGACATCCAATGATTTCGACAAACATAAGTACGCAATCTTCCCCTGGCCGTTTGAGCATATAATCTAGACGATACACAAAATAAACCAAGAAGGGAAGCTGACCTTTCTCCCTGTACTTCTGATAAAGCTCCGTCAGCTGCGTGTAATTAGTCTCCGTGAACCCGCTGATGGGATGACAAAGAAGAATATTCAGTCCTCCACACGCCAACATGAATGAAGCAAAAAGATCCTAGGAAACTGCCACGGAGACGAGACAAATACCAACCATTTGGAGGCGACGTTGACGATGAGGAGGACCTTCCCCTTGTACGTGTCCAGGCACACCTCCTTGCCGTTGCAATCCTGCTCCCAAAATTTCCCCCAAATAAATTGGAGAAGAAGAAAAATGATGCAGGGTCGCGTGATTCCGCGAGGAGATGAATCACCTTAACGGTGAATTCGTGTACGGAGGTCTCCAGCACAGATTCGGACGCCCCCATCTCGCCCTCTCTTCGCCTCCCGGACGGCGGAAGTCCTCCCGAATCCTCTGTCGAATTTTATCGTGTTTCTTTAGGGGAGAGAATAGAGAGAGGATTTCCGTGTCTTTGATGCGCCAACTTATTAATAGCGGCGGTGTGCCGGGACAGGCTGGCCGGCTGTCTCCGTCGAAGTTCCCAACCGGTCCGGCAAGCAAATGTGAATTGCTCTTTTGTCACGTGGGCCCTCAATTGCATTTATGGGACGGCTAAAAAGGTGGGGGAAAACTGATGCATTGTTGCCCTGAAAAGAAAAGATACCCTTACATTGCAACTAGTAAGCTTGCGGTGATTCGGGATGCTAAAGGAAATTTTCTAGCTGCACAATGCAAATTCATTTCGTATGCAGCAGATCTGGTTAATGTGGAGGCAATGGCAATGCGAGATGGACTGGCGCTGCCGCGGGTGGAAGCGGAATCGGACTATACGATTGTCGTTGATGCGTGTGTGGGACACACAACATGACGGGATGCAAATTCGGCAATCTTCGCGGAATGTGTGGATATTTCCTCTTTTATTGGAAAGATCGTCTTTAAACATTGTTATCATGAATGTAACGAAGCGGTGCATGTGCTAACTAACTATTCTTATTGTAATAAGATTACTAGTAGTTGGACGAACGAGCCTCCTGGCTTGTTAGTCTCAAAACTGCTGGACGATGTAATCCCTGTTTAATTCAATAAATCTAGTCATGATAGCCTTCCCTTAAAAAAAGTAAGCTTGCATATGCAAATGCACGTACACATTGTCATCAATTAATTATCAAGATAATAAAATTATGCATGCAATGGGTGTCTTAACTAATATAAATACAAACACATTACAAGCTACTTAATGATAGACACAAAGGAAAAGAATCAATATATCTTTTTATAGTTCATTAGGAAACACGACATTTAGCGACTTAGTGCAACTTTAGTGAGATCATAAATCACAAGGAATTAATAAATGGGGCAAACAATCAATCTCACAGTAACAAGAATCATGGACCAAGAAGCTTCTCATAGTGAGACTCTATCATGTTCAATAACTCATGGATACCCTAGATCCTTAAGCTTGCATGTGCAACGCACACATTATTATCAAAGTTTTTGATTTTTTTTAGATAATTAAAGTTCTAGATACCCGGCTATACCACCGATATAGTCCCGCTATAGCGGTTTGAAAAAGATGACATTCATGCACATATATCAACTAAAGTTATGAAATAGTCGATTATGGCCTTGGCGTGGCTAATTTTAAAGACCATCGCTATTTGATGTAGCCCGCTATTTAAAAATATAGTAATTATGTGAAAAAATCGTAGGTCACTCTAGAATAAAAACATATCAGTAAAATAAACAAAAATCTAATAAAATGCAATGAACATATTTTGTTATCACTTTGTATCAATCATGAGTAGACTGACTCTGTTTGAGAGATATTAAAAAAACTATCCTGGTTCTCTTGATCAAAGCCCCGCGAAGCTAGGCCAGGCAGGCTATGTTGGTCTCTTTTTTATCGCTTCGTGAGCTGAGTCGACGGTGAAGCGTACAGTTGTTTAGGATGCAAAAGGATTTTGTCTAATCTGAGGTGAATTTTTTTTACTGAAAGATGCTCAAAAGCACTAGTTTCCTCCCATATTTTTTAGCGTCAGGCTGGGAAACTTCGCCAGGAGCTTTCAGGACTTACTTTTCTTCGGTTGAGGAAAAAGGAAAACTGTGGAATGGAGGAAGTACAAATGAACAATAGTTAATATAAGTATTTGGTGCAAAATGTTATATCTCAGGATACAGAAACTTCGGGTGTCTACAAATTAATGTGTTTTTTAAACAAAACATAACATTAGGTATTGATCATAATTTGATAGGAGGCAAACAGGCTGCTTTCTTCATAATCTGCCAAAGAATGGCATCTTTTTCCTCATAAATAGGAAGGAAAGACTGAACTTGTTATTTTTCCTGCTCTAAAATAACTGATAGTAATC